ATTGTTCAGAATGATATTCGCCTAACTGCTTCAATCTATCTCTAGGAATGAGCTGCTCATTAATGAGATTTTTCTTTTTGCTTAAGGGTATTTTTTGACTTGTACTATTATAAAATGTTTCTAACCAGAGGAAATTAAGAATTGCTCTATGTATGAGTTGATGGATATGTTAACTATATTATAGTAATCATTTCACAACATACATATGTAATGTATATAAAATTTCAAAATATTATAAACCTTAAATGTATATTATTTTATTTGTCAATTTTACTCGATAAAAAAGAAAAATATACTGTTAGTAATTGTATGCCAGCGAATTGGACAACCTAGATGAAGTGGACAAATTCCTAGAAATACACAATCTACCCAAAGTGAATCACGGAGAAATAGAAATTTCAACAGCTCTTCTTTGTTTACCGCTATCCTTTTGCCACTTTGGGTGTTGCTTGTGTCCTTATTCAGTGAGGATTTAGCATCTCTTTTGTGAAGTGGCACCTGAGGAGACTGGTGCTCACCATGGTCAAGAAAAAAGCCAAGGAGAAAGTCAAGACCAGAAACAATGATCATATTAATTTGAAGGTGATGAGACAGGATAGTTTTGTGGTGCTGTGTAAGATTAAGAAGCATACATCACTTAGTAAAATAAGGAAAACCTATGTGAATGGCAGGGTTTATCAGTGAGCCAGACCAGATTCTGGTCTGGTGATCAATGAAACAGATATACCTGCATAGTTGAAATGGAGGATGAAGATATAATTGATATGTTTCAGTAGCAGGCAGGTGGTGGCTATTAAAACGTGAACCTGCTACTTAACTTCAGAACTCTATTCCTACAAACTAAATAAATATTACATTCTCAATCAGAAAATCACAATTTGGTTCTACCACATCCTGACTACCACAGTGTAGTATTCTCTATTATTTCATTTTCTCTTTCTGTAGTTCTTTATTGTGCACAAATCAACTACTGTAACGAGCACAAACATGCTGATTTTTTTTTAACTAAATGGCAAACGGATTTTTTTTTTTTTTTGGTACCGGGGATCGAACTCGGGACCTTGCAGTTGCGAGGCAGGCAGAGAAACCACTGAGCTAAATCCTGAGCCCAAACAGAAAGTTCGACATCAAATGGAGATGGGATGGGGACTGTTGCTGGTTCTTTGAAATTATCTTCTTCCTCCATTAGTGGCATTTTCTTTCCACTTGTTTTAGTAAGTTACTTTGTTTTACTGTTTTTTGTTGTTGTTGTTTTTTGTTTTTGTTTGGTTTGGTTTTTTGGCAGTGTCAGGGATTGAACTCAGGACCTTTTGCTTATGAGGCACAGCACCACTGAGCTAAATCCCAGCCCTGTTTCACTGTTTTAACAAAAACCAGCAAAATAAAAATCCTTGCCTTCCCTCTCTGATTGGAAAATTTTAATGTTTTTCATATATCATTGTAAAGCCAAGGACAATTTTTTTGGGTACATAGTTGTTACATATAAGACAATTTGTCTTTAGGTAGTGGTAAATTACTCTAAAAAATTAATCCCAGTTTCCCCTTCAAGTCAAGCATCTTGTTTAAGTAAACTTTCTGTTTAAAAACAAACTTTTTTTTTTTTTGGTACTGGGGGATCAAACTAGGGACATTGCGCTTTCGAGGCAGGCAGCAGCACCACTGAGCTAAATCCCTGACCCTGAAAACAAACTCTTAACAAACTAATAATTAGTAAGGAGAGTAAGTAAGTAATCACAAATCTCCCAACAAAGAAAATCTCTAGACTAGAAGTGCTCACTGATGAGTTCTACCAAACACTTAAAGAAGAATAAACACCAGTCCTTTTTTTTCATAGTGTATATTAATTACACAGAATAGTGAGTAAGGCTAGTACTTCTTGAAGTCTTCTAAAATACATATGGAGGGAATAGTTCTTAATTTATTCTATGAGGCTTGCATTACCCTAAAACCAAAGTCAGATGAAGAGACTACAAGAAAACAAGAGACCAAAATTCGTTGTGAATATTGATGCAAATATCCTTAACAATATACCAGCAAGTCAAATTCAGCAAATTATTAAAAGAATTGTATACCATAGGCGAGTGGGATTTATTCCCAGAATGCAAGAAGGTTCCAATATATGAAAATTAATGTAATACAGTTGTTAATAAAGGAAAAAACATGATCAATCTCAATTGACACAAAAAAATAGAAAAATTCAAAGCTTTCATGATTTTTTGGAGACAGAGTCTCTATGTAGTTCAGGCTGGCGTTGAGCTCAGTATGTAGTCCAGGCTGGCACTGAACTTGCAGTGATCTTCCTGCCTCAGCCTCCCAAGTACTGGGATTACAGACATGTGCTCTCATGCCCAGACACACTGTCATGATTTTTTGAAAAAATTCAGTATACTAGGAATAGAAGGAAACCAACATGGCAATGACCATATGTGAAAAACCCATGGCACACATCATACTCAATGGTGAAAGACTGAAACCCCCCTCCCCACATCAACAACAAGACAAGCATGCCCACTTTCACTACTCCTATTAAACATAGGAAGTTCTGGCCAGAGCAGTTAGGGAAGTAAAAGACATCCAGATTGGAAAAGTATAAGTAAAATTATCTCTGTTCACAGATGACATGATGTTATATTACAGAAACCTTAAAGATCACACACACACACACACACACACACACACACACACACACACACACAGAGTTTGAATTTAATGAACTCAGAAATGTTGTAAGATAAAAATATCAACTCACAAAAATCAGTTGCATTTCTCTATACTAATAATAAACTAAGAAAACAATCCAATTTACACTAACATCAAGAATAATAAAATATGAATAAATTTAATCAAGGCAAATGACTACAAAATATGAATAAGATAAAAACATGAGTAATGGAAAGATATCTTGTGTTCATGGGTTGAAAGACTTAATATAAGTAGAAATACTGCCCCAAATGACCTACTTATTCACTGCAATCCTTATCAAACTCTCGATATCATTTTCTACAGAAATAGAAAATCACAACCTAAAATTCATGTGAAATCTCAAGTCAAAACAACCTTTAAAAAGAATGCAATGGTCATGCTTTCTATAGAAAGAAAATGATTTGAATTGTTGATAAAGAAAATCATCTTTCTCAAAAACTGAGTTCATCCTTTTCCAAGGTGAATTACTTTCAGATTACCTTTGACTTTATGTGTTGTAGATGTTAAAACTTTAATAAAGTTCATAAAATTAAAAAGAATGTAATTGGAGGAGTCATACATCTTGATTTCAAAATTTGAGACACATTCATACAACTCAATAGCAAGAAAGTAAATAATTCAGCCAAGTGTGGTGGTGCACACCTGTAATCCCAGCACTTAGGAGGCTCAGGCAGGAGGATCCTAAATTCGAGGTTAGCTTGGATTATATAGTAAATTCAAGTTCAGTCCTTATACATAGCAAGACACTGCCTCAAAAAAACAAAACACATCTAATAAGAAATGGCCAAAGGACCTAATGGATACATCACAAAAGAAAACAAAATAGCCAACATATATATGAAAAAAAATGTTCTGCATCTCTGATCAGGAAAATTCAAATGAAAACCACAGTGAAATATCACCTCACACTTTTTAGAATAGCTATTAGAAAAAAGATAGAATGTAACAAGTGTGGTGGGGGTATAGAGAAAAGGAAACCCTTGTGCACTGTTGATGGGAATGTAAATTAATACAGACATTATGGAAAACAGTATGGAGGGTCCTCAGAAAACAAAAAATAGAATTACCATATGATCCATTAATCTTATTTCTGTGTTTATAGTCAAAGAAATTGAAATCAGTATCCTGTAGAGATATGCACACTCCCATGTTTATTGTAGCATTATTCACAATAGTGAAAGTATAGAGTCACCTAAGTTTCCATCCATAGATGATTTTTTTTTCAGTACCGGGCATGGAACTCAGGAGGATCTTGGGCTTGCCAGGCAGGCGTGGGGCCACTGAACTACATCCCTGCCCCCCCCCTTTTGAGTACTGGGGATCGAACTCAGGACCTTGCCCTTAGGAGACAGGCACGGTGCCACTGAGCTAAATCCCTGGCTATCCATACATGAAAAAATAAAGAAAATGTATTTATGCACAGTAGAGTATCAACTTCCAAGCAGAAGGAAATCTTGTCATTTGCAACATGAAATAAACCTGGAAAACATGCTAAGTGAAATAAGCCAGGCACAGAAAGGCAAATACCACATGATTTCGTGTAATAAGATATCTTAAAAAGTTGAATTCATAGAATTGGAGAGTAGACTAATGGTTACCAGAGGCTGGGGGAAGAGGGTGGATGGGGAAAAGGGGGATGTTAGTCAAAAGCTACAGTTTCAGTCAGATAGGACGACTAAGCTCTACTGACCCATTGCCTAGAAAAGTGGTTATAATGAATACTTCAAACTTGCCAAGAGTATATTTTAAATGTTTTCACCACAAGGAAATCAGAATGTGAGGTTATGAACTTTTGTTACTCTGACAGTCATTCCACATTGTATACATTTATTAAAACATTTCATCATATCCCATAAATATATAGTTATTTGTCAATTAAAATAAAATATAATTGAGATTGCAAAACTTACTACAAGGCTGTGGTAATCAAAACAATGTGGAAAAGACATATAGACCAATACAACAGAGAGCTCAGAAATAAAACGTTGCATATATGGTCAATTGATTTTCCACAAGGGTATTGAGACCATTCAATGGTGAAAGAACCAACTCTTTTTTATTTGTTTGTTGAGACATGGTCTGGCTATGTAGTTCAGACTGGCCTGATCTCACCATGTGTCCTAGGCTGGCTACAAACTGGCAACGATCCTCTTGCTTCAGGCCTCCCAAGTGCGGGAAATTAGCCAGTGCACCACCACACCAGGCTTCCATGTCTTTAAAGAAGATACTTTTAATGTCATTTTATGAAAGTTCTGGAAACTTTCAGATCACATGACTAAACTGGAAGGAAGCCATTTTACAACACCGGACCCCAACGTAGTGGATCATGGGGAACCCTGAGGGAGAGATCGACAGTTTCTCAGAAAATGATTCAAGAGTTTCAACATCAGGAGACAGGAGCTGCCAACCTCGCCGAATATTCGTTGACCATGGTGCTGAAATTGCATGCGACAGAACAGCAGATATTCCAGGTGATGAAAGCGCAGAAATTCCTGTTAACCTATGTGCTCAAACTGATGCTCACAGAACTGCACTTGCTAACAAAGCTATTTCGGAAAACTCACTGGAATGTAAAGTTAAGTGGCTTTTAAAGTTTTTTTCCCCACAAAGTAAAGATTTGCTTTGGGAAAAGTGAACTGCTAAATGTTTGTTGGAAACTTTTACCAACCCCCGTAGGAGAAATGAGTGGTAACTTGTGACAGTCATTTCTAATTGTTTTGCTTATAAACAAATGCACACATACACATATAAATACCAAACGAAAAGTAAATATAAGAAAAAAGACATCCAAAAGCTGTAAAACAGTGACTCTGCTGAGGAGAGGGGAGGGGCTTATCGTGTTAGTTTGCCGTGGATTCTTGTGATTTAGTGGGTTTGCGGGGCCGTGTATTTGTCAACAAGCGAGGTCGCCAGTTAAGTAGCAAACCGTTCAACGTAACAGATTTTAGGAGTTACTAATAAACGTATCTCCACTGTGTACTTGAAAAATCGTCTGGTGGCCCGAAGGTCTCCTCTGTGTAAAAATAACTCGTTTTGAAAGTAACTCCTGCGCCCTTGGAGCGTTCATGCTGTGCTCCGTGAGCCAAACTGGCCGCTGCCTGAGGCCTCTCTCCCGCTGGGCGGCGGCGGAGGCGTGGCGAGGCGTGGCGGGGCGGGGCGGGCGCTCGCCGTTCCTACCTGTCGCTCCGCGGTTCGCATCGCTCGCCGCTCGCCTCAACGGCTGGAGCAGGAGCCCACTCGCTGCCCGCCGGAACTCTCCAGCCAGAGACGCAGGACCCGCAGTCTTTCTGGCGCGATTTGGTTCGGGACCGGGTAAGTCGGGCGATCGGCAGGGATCTGTGGGGTAGTGCGCCTCGCTGCCCTTCGCAACCTGCCTGCACTGAGAGGTGCGAAGGCTGGGGCTGTTTGGCCCCGCGGGAGATTTTCTAGGGAAATGGGATAAAGCTTTAGCAGCGGAACTTTTCCCTTGGAAGTTTAGTGACCCAGAGATAAGGACTGAGCAGGAGTGGTTACTGCCTCCAAACTGCAGCCCGCGGCTATGAACTTGAAACAAATAACTAACCTTGGTTTATGCTGACTAGGCTACCTGGAGTTTGCTGCTAGTTAATTCCAATTGTAATTCTGCTGAAGTGTGATGGAGTTAAGGTTGAACACTGGAGAGCGGTTCTGTTAATTTAATTAGGCATCTAAGATATGCTTGCTGGGAAAACGTGTATGGTTTTCTTATAGTAAATACCGGACAGTCCTTTGGGTACATGTAGGTAACAAAATTGAAAAATAACTAAAACTCATTTTAACCAGGGTTTCCACCTTCTCTCTCACTGGACCTTTTATACGCGTGATTTACAAGGAACTTCTTTGAAATAGTTTCAGTTCTTTAAGTTCTTTCTTCTAGAAAAGAGGAGTTGCCAGAAAGGCAACGAAATGAACAAAATGCCCCAGTCTTAGTTCTGCTGAGAAGTCTAAAAGTTACTATTTATCTGATAAAATTTTGCTTAGCACCTCCTTCTTCAGATAATCCGTGCTTCTCCCAACTTGAAGTGTTTCCTACTTTCTCTGCTTAGGCAATGTGCCCAGCCCCAAGATTCTTTATTTCATTTACTTTAAGTTTTTATTATATTTACTTTTCATTTTTATATTTATATATGTATGTGTGCATATATTTATTTATAAGCAAAAAGAAAAGAAATGACTATCACAAATAATGCATCCACCACCCACATCTTGGGTGTCTTCCACTGCTGACTTCTTTGTGCTTTCTATACCTTTCTGATACTTTCTAAAGCTATACTGAAAGATTTATTTCATAACAAGTGAATAATTTCACCTTGATAGGGTCCCAGACCCACTTCTATGTGGTAAAAGAAGGAACCAGTGCTTTTAGTTGAGATTCAGGTTCAAAACTCAGATCCCAGTTAATGGTTTACAGAATATTAAGGACTGTGCATTAAGTGAAATTTTCACTTTAACTTAAGGTACAAGACCTTATAACTTGGTGTATATCATAATGTTTTTAGGACATAGGAAACCTTTGTCAAGTTTCATATATGTACATTGTTTTCTTCAATTTTTGACAAAAAATCTACCTCAGAAGTGTGAGCTCAATACCTAAAATGCAAGTCACCACAGATACATCCTAAATGAATGGAAAATACGATTATAAATAAAGATTAACTTGGGATTTTACAATTCCATTTCAGGGCTTGAAATCAGTATGTCAAAAAGATAACTGCACTCACATGTTCACTGCAGCATTATTTGCAATAGCCAATTTACAGATCCAGCCTAAGTGTCCTTCAGTTGATAAATGGATAAGAAAACTTGGTATATATACATAGTAGAATACTGTTCAGTCTTTTAAAAAACACAGTTTTGTCATTTGTAACATGGATGAATCTGGAGGACATTATGCTAAGTTAAATAAGCCAGGCACAAAAAGACAAAAACCACATGTTCTCATTTTTATATGTGGAATATAAAATAATCAGACTCATAGAAGCAAAGAGTAGAGTGGTAGTCACTAGAGACTGGTGAGTGTGGGGAATGGGGAGATATTGCTCAAAAGGTAGAAAGTTGCATTTAGGAGTAATAAATTACGAGTAGTTAAGGTGATATATTAGCTTGATGCATCATCTCACACTGTACACATGTATCATATCACTATATCATTATATTGTCAAAAAACCCTACTAACTTGGATGAGGATGATTCATTCTTTTTATGGTACCTGGGATCGAACTCAGGACCTTGTGCCTGCAAGGCAGGAACAATGACACTGAGCTAAATCCCCAGCCTGATTCATTTTTATAAAGGCGTATTTTTTCAAAATAAAAGGATCTATCTGAGAGTCGTTTTAAATAGCTTATTAGGGGCACTTCAAATAATTAGTTGAGGATTAAATTAAATAATAGAACTAAAGCACTCAGTGTAGTGTGAGGTACATAGAACAAATGCCAAAAATGTTAGTAATAAATAAATCAAATCAAATATTTAGTATTTCTACTTCAGAAATGCAATTATTCCATGAAGTTAGGTGCAATCACACACATAATCTAGCTTTAAGAATCTGGACTCCTAATTTTTCTACAAGGTATCTCAGAGCTGTTGATGCTAGCTCTAACCTATGACTCACTCACTCCATCATTTAAAAATGTTATAATAAAATATTTTAAAAGGAACTTTTATTACTTTATATATCAACTATTATATATATTTATTGTATGCGGCTCAGGACAATTCCTTTTCACTCAAAAAAATGAGGGAAAAATGGCAGGCTGCAGGTTGAATGTGTCTGTTAGAGTCATTATAAGCTGCCTTCTTTCCCATGGACTTCTAAATTCCCATCAGTTCCTTAAGGTGAATGAAATATTGAAAATTAAACTTTTATGTCAAGTCATCATAGAACATTTCTGCAAGTGGTTTCTGGTTGACTTCTGCCTTTGGTTTGTACTCTTCTCTGACGAAGTCATTTAGTTTGCTTAGGTTGCCACCACTGTGAGTTGAATTTTACGTCTTTAAATGAGAATCTAAGAATATCATTAGAATAAATCATGTTTTATATCAGCTCTTAGTTCATTTGTTCATCAAATTATATCATGTATTTTGTACTGACTTTGGAAAATCTGTACATATTAGAAAGGATATAAAGTGACTTTTAGAAAAAATCAAGATATGTAGAGTAAGGTATTGCTAAACTGTACACACTTCATTCCAGTGAGGATTATGGAGATTTTATACAGTAATTTAACCAGTACTACTAAAAGTGGTCAGCAGAGGGAGCAAGAGGAGTTTTTAGTAACTTGGTTTTCTTTTTGTTTTCGTGAACTCAAAAACAAGACATGAGTAAAAGCCAGGATGAACTTCCTCCTGAACTTGAAAGCCAGTTTATACTGCGTCTGCCTCCGGTAAGAAATTTTTGTGTATCAGAGCAAATATCTGAAATTCAAAAGTATACTTTTGCTTTGATTCTGTAACATTTCTTTTTCAAGCTATAAAACTTCAGAACATTTGTTTCTCAGCAATCATGTTCTATTAAGCAGCCCTATTCTACTATGTACCCTTTTAGCACAATTTCTTTCCTCCTGTGCATACCACTTATCATGTGGGTTGATTTTCTGGCCAAACAGCTGTGACAGTGTTGGGTCCAGTCACTTATGGACACAGCTTGTTCCCTGGATAGCCAAGACTCTTCTAAAATTCTTTCTGTTCTTAAAAGGGACAGTAAAAATGACCATCATGGTATCGCATATAAATTCATCACCATGCAAGGTTATTAAAGCTCATCTTTTTTTACTTTTTAATTTTTTTTTATTTTTTAATTAAAGCTCATCTTAACATTATGTTTGGATCTCTTCCCCAACTAATAACTGTATTCAAGCATTATTTAGGAAGATATGCTATGGATGGGGTTCAGAAAGGTATTTGTCTGATTAAGGTTAATTAATATATCCAGTAAACTGTAGCTAAGGTTTTCCTTAGCACCTGTAGCTGAACAGAATCAGTGAGAGGCAGAAGTGTAGAACTGGGAAATGGCACTAACTATAGCTACTAAAAAAAAGATGAAATTAGAGTTGGCTTCATCCTAACTTGATGTATTCAATGCAGTCTCTTATGGTACAGGCATTGTTGGTAATATTTGGGAGATACAAGGTTTTATTTAAGGGAGGACTCTTGTATATCTATTAACTGCTAAATAGACAATCTTGATTTTTTAATTTACCTCCTGTTTAGGAACATGCTTCTACTGTCAGGAACATAATACATTCTGGAAGTGTCAACATGAACGATAAAATTAAAATTGACTTATCTTGTAAGTAGTTAATATCCATTTGTCATATATTAAGCAATCATTTATTAAAGGATTGCCATATGCTAAGCACTATACTAGGTACTAAAGATATGAAAAAGAATAGAATATAGCCTCTATCTTAATGGACTCACAGTTTAGAGAGCCTTAAGTCACTTACACCTTTTTTTAAGGGGAAAGGAAGTAGGAATTATGCAACTTGTGGTAATTATCACAGTGCACATAAAGAAAAGCTTGGATATCAACTGTGAGATTTTCATACACCTGGTAATCTCCTACATACAAGCTCTGTGATTTCTGAATGTCAAAAGGTATGACAAGTATGCCATTCATTGTTTACAAAAAGACACACCTATTTTTTAAATAATATTTTTATATTTGCAAATTGTATATTTGAAGGGATAGGCATGACCTTATGTTTATTGAAACCCTGTTTCTGATAGCCCAGATATGGAATCAGCCAAAGTATTCAACAGTGGATAAATGGATAAAGAAAATGTGGTATATATACACAATGGAATATTGAGTCTTAAAAGAGAATGAAAGTCTGCCATTTGGGACCACATGGATGAGTCTAGAGAACATTATTGTAAGGAAATAAGTCAGGCATAGAAGGATGAATAAAATATAATCTCACATATAGAATCTAAAAAAATTGAACTCATAGTAGAGAATAGAGTAATGGCTGCCAGAGACTGGAGAGAGTTTGGAGGACAAGGAAATGAGGAGTTGCTGGTCCAAGGATACAATGTTTTGGGTAGACAGGAAGGATACGTTTTGATATATTTTGTAAGCAGGGTGACTTGTCAATAATAATGTATTGTATATTTCAAAACAATTAAGAAAGTAAATTTTAAGTGTATTACTCCAAAAAATGTTACAAGAACGTTAATTAACTTTATTTAATCATTCTACATTGTATACCTGTATCGAAACATCATATCATACTCCTTAAATGTAATCTAGTTATGACTTGTCAATTCAAAGTGATACTAATTTTAAAAGCCTCCAAAGCAAAAATAATAATGCTTTCACATAAGGCCTGTCTGCCTAAATCACCAAAATAAATAAACAAATAAAAATAAAATTTGTAGGATTTTTTTGTTTGTTTGTTTTGAGGCAGGGTCTCACTGTGTAGTCCAGGTTGGCCTTGAATTCCAAGTGCTGGGACTACAAGTATGTATCACCATGGGTGGCCTGGATTTTTTTTAAATGTAGAGAAGTATATAAAGAGGAAATAAAAAAGTGGCCCATAATTTCACCACTTAGCCCTTATTGACATTTAAAAAATGAAAGGTGATACAAGTTCATGGTTATAAAATTCAAATAAAACAAAACTTCAAAAGAAAACGATGAAACTCTTTCCTCATAGCACTCCAACTTCAATTCCAAAGATAACCAATATTAACTGTTTCTTCTTGTGTTTCCTCGCAGAAAAAGTTTTATTCATAATAGATTTTCAATAATCCTTGTTTTTAAAGTTAATTGATACAAAAAGTATTGAGTTAAACATGGTTCTACATCTTTCTTATTCACTTAATATTAGAAGATTACACCTGAATCCTCTGTGTCAAAAGACATTCATGTTTAAGACATCTGAGCAGGATTCAGAGTTCAGTACATTACTTTTGGGTAGCAGTTTAGCATTGTGAATCCAACTAGAGATTTAAAAAAAAATTTATTGCAGTACTTTTATTGTATCGAGGCCTTTGCACTGAGTGACATCCACACCCCCTTTTTATTTTTTATTTTGAGACTAGGTCTCACTAAGTCACTAAGTTGCATAGGCTGGGCTTGAACTTGTGATTGTCCTGCATCAGCCTCCCAGAGTGCTGGGATTACAAGTGTGTGCCACCTTGTCCAGCTCCAACTAGAGATTTTACCTTGCTACTTAGCACCATTCTAGGACCACTCCTTCCTTCATCCATCCCTTTGAAAACACACATGGATGATGACATGGTTGAATTCTTCTAATAAAAGGAATATGTTTAAATGAATCGAATTTGCCTTTTAGGGTGAGAATGAAACATTTACCGTTCACCCACATTTAGTTCACATGCATTACTAAGAAACTTAGCTACTTTGGAATAGGTGACATAAATTGGGACAAAAGAGCCCTATATAGTCCCTTCTTTTCTCTGGGAAGTTACTAATCATGTACACTGTTTTTGCATTATGAGAAATAATAGGTTTCACTGGACGATTAATCTGTCCCACAAAAGTCTTCATTATTCAAACATTTGGGATGTACAAAAGTTCTCTGGGAAGATGTCAACTTTAATCTTCTCTACTCCTATTTAGCTGATAGACGCCATGCAGTCATTAAGGTAGAAGATGTCTCACTATCTGCTAAGCTGGTTGATTTACCTTGTGTTATTGAAAGCCTGAAGACTTTTGATAAAAAAAAGTTTTATAAAACAGCAGATATTTCCCAGGTATGAACTTTCTTAATTTTCTGGATCTTACATCCTTCAAGAAATTCCTTTCTTGCCGGGGATTTAGCTCAGTGGTTCTGTCGCCTGCCTCGAAAGCGCAAGGACCCGAGTTCAATCCCCGGTACCCCCCCCCCAAAAAAAGAAAAAGAAATTCCTTTCTTTTTCCTTTTTTCTTTCTTTCAATACTGTCCACTTAAATGGCTGCCTGCCATTTTTAACTTCCAGATTAATTGCACAGGAATAAAATGTGACATTCTGGTTCATTATTTGATCCTTAACATTTACTACCACATTGTATCCAAATGACTTGTCGTGCTCCCTATTTGCCATTTATAGTGACTTTTATTAATTTAAAAATATGAACAGCTGGGATCGTCTGAACTTTCTACAAATTGGTTTTTATTTCCTCTATAAATCAAAATGTTAAGATATATGTATTTTCAGCATATTCCATTTGCAGTGGCAAACACTGTAGCTTAAAAACTTAGTCAATACACAATGCTGCTGTTGGGAGAGAGAGGAAAGAGAGGGAGAGAGGAGAGAGACAGAGGAGATGGGGGAGAGTGAAAAAGAAATATAAGAAAATATGAATGTATGTTACATAATATTTGGGGTTTTTTTTCTGGAAATGCCAGGATTTCTGGTGATAAGAATGATCATAACATGGCCATAGTTAGCTTCTTTGTCTTTGCTAAATGTAGATGCTTGTGTGCAGTGCTGATGGTGACCTCCCATCTTCTCAAGAAGAATCAGTTACCTCTACTGATCTTAGTGTAACCAGGAATAAGGAAAGAGAGACAGAGAAAAAATATATCTGGAAGCATGGAAGTAAGTCACCAGCTCATTGCTCATTAGAGCCTACTATATTTATCTGTTGAATCCTAATTTCTTGTGAATCAAGGTCTCTTGCCTGGTTCATTCAGCTCTGATATGCTCTTAAAAGGGAGGAGACATATCATGAGCCAGTGGATCCTGATTAAATTCAGATAAATATTCGACTACCATCAGTCATATATGTTTCACCAAGTTGTATTTATTTTTAGTTACTCCACCACTTAAGAATGTCAGAAAGAAAAGGCTCCAGAAAACTCAAAAAAAGGTTAGTCTCATGATATTTGTGTGTCTGCTGGATGGATTAGAAGAGGATTATGAGTGGGAAGGAAAGTCAATTGGGAATTAATTTGTTCATTCATTCATATGTTCAATAAACATTTGTTGAGTGTGAGGTAAATGCCAGGCATTGTGTGCTAGCGGTTAGGAATATAGCATTGAATAAAAACAGACCAGATCTTTGAAGTTATGGGCAAGTTGTCATGGATCTGGAAGGATCATAAACTTGAAATTTCCGTTCATTCTTTTAGTTTTCAATTCCAAGATCTAGTTTTAATATGAATCCATCTAGAACCTGAGAAATGGGTATTGTGCTTATATTCCTAACCTTACTTCAGGCTTGTAGAAACATGGGCAAACGATAGAAGTACTGTTGTTTGGCTTCTTCTTTTGTTTAATTAAACTTTTTATTTGGAAATAAATATAGATTCACGTGCAGTTTAAGAACTAAAAGATGAGGGCCGGGGATTTAACTCAGTGGTTCCACCGCCTGCCTCGCAAGCACAAGGACCCGAGTTCAATCGCTGGTACCAAAAAAAAAAAAAAAAACGACTAAAAGATGGGCTGGGGTTGTAGCTCAGTGGCACTGCACCTGCCTGGCGCCTGGCAAGTTCAAGGTCCTGAGTTCAATCCCTGGTACCTGGAGTCGGGGCGGGGACTAAAAGATGCCATGTACCCCTTTCCCCGTTTTTCCCATTGTAACATTTTGCAAAACGATAGTACAGTACCACAAACAGGAAATTGGCATTATTACAATTCACCAGTCATATTCAAATCATGTATCTGTGGTGTGTGTTTAGGTCTATGCAGTTTTATCTCATCTGTTAATTCATGTATTCATCTACACACTCAGGATACTAAGTAATTCCATCGCCACAAAGATATGTTATTCTGCTCTTTTATACACCTCCCTCCTTCCTTGCACTCCTACTCCTTAATACCTGGCAATCATTAATCTGTTCTCCATCTCTGTAATTTGTCATTTTTAGGATGTCATATAAGTAGCATCATATAACATCTGAGATTAGCTTTTTTCCTCACTCAGCATAATTACCTTAAGATCCATGCAAGTTTTTGCTTATATCAATATCTTTCTTCTTTTTTAAATTGTGGAGTCATATCCCATGGTATGAATGTAATGGTTTGTTTAACTCTGCATTCATTAAAGAACATCTGGGTTGTTTCTCATTTTTGACTGTTATAAATAAACCTGTGAATAGGTTTTTAAGTGAACATAAGTCTTCATTTCTCTGGGATAAATGCCCAGAAATACAATTGCTGAGTTGTATGGTCGTTGCATGTTTAGTTTTATAAGAAACTAATATACTGTTTTTGGAGAATGTACCATTTTATATTCCCACCAATAATATGTAAGTGCTTCAATTTATTCACCTCCTCAGCAGGACTAAATGTTGTTGCTATGTTTTATTTTAGCCATTATATCTAGATGAATGTGTAATGTGTAATGATCTCATTGTGGTATTTATTTACATTTCCTTGGTGCTCGCTTTGGCAGCACATATATTTACATATATTTCCTTGATAGCTAATGACATTATAAACATCTCATGTGCTCATATTATATATATCCATTTCAGTTAATTGTTCATGCCTTTTGCTCATTTTCTAAAATATCATTTTTGTTGTTGAGTCTTAAGAGTTCTTTTTATAGTCTTTTTTTTTTGTTTTTTGTTTATTTAATGGGTTTAATCATCTCAGAAATCTTTCTCTTCATCAGATGTTTGATCCCCTTGCAAAATGTTTGGTTTTTGAACTTGAATGTGGCCTTTACTCCATCAATTACGTGATTTTCATGTTGCACTGCATTCTGAAGTGCTTCTTCTGAAGAAAAGTAAATCCAACACATACCTTTATGAAAGCCAGTCTCTTTATCAAAAGGAAGAATGCACTTTTGTATACGGCCAAACTGAGCAAAGTGTTTTCTCAGCTCATTGACTGTTGCAGTCCAAGGAATTTTTCGGACAAAAGCAACCTGCCGAGTAAAATTCGTACACAGTGCCAGGGCACCCCTCGCTACGGAGGCTGCCATCTTTAGACTAATTCTTTTTATATTCTAAACACTGCTAGTTTGTCAGATAGTTTGCAAATATCTTCTCCCAGTCTAAAGCTTGTCTTTTCTTCCTGTTCACAGGATCTTTCAAAGGCAAAAGTTTTTACTTTTGAGGAGGCCCAATTTATAATTTTCTTCTTTTAAGGATTTTGTTCTTTTGTATGTTAAATTTAAGAACTCTTTGGTTCATCCAGTTCCTGAAGATTTTCTCCTGTTTTTTCAAAATGTTTTATATTTAAGCCTATAGTCCATTTTTAATTAACTTTGTAAAAGTATAAAGTTTAGTTCAAAATTCACTTTTGTTTTATTTTTTGCTTAAAGGTGTCCAATTGCTCCAGTGCCATTTCTTTTCCTTCCTCCACTGTATTGTCTTTGTACCTTCACCAGAAATCAGTTGGGTATGTTTGGGTGAGCTGGTTTCTGAGTTCTTTATTCTGTTCCACTGATCCATATGTCAATCTTTCCACTTATATCACAATGTGATAGGTCTTGAAATCATAAGACAGATTGCTCCCACTTCATTTTTCTTTGTCAAGACTATTTTAGCTATTCTAGACTTGTACCTTTCCATACAAATTTCAGAATAAGCTTCTCTATGTCTGCAAAAACCTTGCTGGATTTCTGATAGGAATTATATTAAAATTATAGATCAATTTGGGGAGAACAAAGTAAACATTTTTACTATTTTGAGTTTTTCAATATATGTGCTGCCTTGGCTTTATGCCTTGTCAATCAACAACATTTATTGAATGCCTGTGGAGTGTAAAACTAAGTCAAGAATAATTATAGAGCTCTTTAAGTTTTACTGAACTAGAACAGTCATAAAACACCTTCATTATTTATTGTGTTTTACTTCACATCTCACTGATTTCAAGCAAATTGAAGAAATCAGCTTTGCTGAGGTAGAGCAATTATACTACAACTTCATTATTTACTTTTAGTGTGTTTTATTTAATAGCTAATTCATTTCAAACAACTGAAATACATTATAAAGGTTACTTCTGAGCCTTTCTTCTCAACTGTAACCTTCACTTCCATACACATACATTAGATTTAATTCACTGAGAAAGGAATTCATTGTTTGGTGTCCAACAATTCCTAGAGGAAAAGGTACAATTTGGTCACTGAGTCTGTGTATTCCAATCTACTTCTTTCTGATTTTATTTCAAAAGCCATTCCTTGGGAGCCAGAATTCACTTTTATCAGCAGTTGTTTGCAAGAACTTATTTCCCTTCAGAGTCTTAACTTTTATTTGTGGCATGATGACTTGGTTGCTTGGAGATAATTGTCTAATACTGTATTCAAGGGAGAACATTTAGCTAAGATCTAGTTTTTTGTAGGAATATCTCTAATAATAAAGATATGGAAAAGTGAAATCTGGGAATTTACATCTTTAAATCAAACTACTTCTATATAATTGACAAGGTATGATAGTTCTTTGTCAGTATAAATCATGGCAAATAATTAATAATTGAGAGCTAAGGATCTCACCTTTCAAAGAGGCTTTTACCATAGAATTGCACAATGAAAGATTAAATGTCTCTAGTAATTTAATTGGGAAAACCAAGCAAATTGTATAAAATATAGACCATAGCTAAAGATTCCTTCATAAGTAGCACTACTTAAAGTAGAACTTTGGTTGTATAAGTGACTAATGAGGCCTAATCATTTGAACTTGTTGGTATATAGGAAAAGGGCATTCCTGCAATTCACAGGGTGCTAAATGACACTCTTGGTATTTCTTCTTACACTTTGTCTCAGTACATTGAATCTCGAGATGTGGAAAAGGAAGTGAAGACATTGCTGTGTTTGGATGCTGAAGCTGTCAGTGGCCGTATCCTTTGTACCAGATATTTTCTATATAGTCTGTTCCACTCCATATGCACATGCTGACAAACTTCACTTCTGGTATTTGTGTGCCAATTTTAATGTGTAAAACTTAAGATTTTTGGAAATGTTACTTTCTACCTAGGAACTGTAAATACCTGTAATAGGTATTTATTTACTTGCAGCCAGGTCTTTTTTTTTTTTTTTTTTGGTACTGGGGATCAAACTCGGATCCTTGTGCTTGCAGGCAGGCAGTAGAACCACTGAGCTAAATCCCCAGCAATATTTATTTACTTGTATAATTCAACATAAGGCACTTCTCCACACTAGGAATAGATACAAATGACCAAAAGTTGTACTAAATTAAAAGAGCAGTTTTAGCCAAAGACCCTCTTCCCATTCAACCGTGTCTTCTCCTTTCCTTCTGCACTTTCCTTGACAGCTCCCTCCTTTCAGGATGGGAAGTCATTGCTGATGAAGAAACCAAGGAAATAGAAAGTCAAGGCTTCATCCCAAGCTTTCCAGCATTTCCAGCAACCAGTGGTTATAAGCAAAGTGATACCTCATCAGGTATTTTAGCAAAGGCAGAGCAGGAGCTTTAGATGGAGCAGGCATTGATTGAATGTCAAAGATTATCCTCCATAGATTCATGGGTCAATAACAGAAAAAAAAAATGATGTCCTTCTTCACTCTTATTGGCCCCCAGTACTTCAAGGGTTTTAGATTGCAATTCTAATCTCCCATCTATCCTTATTATTCAATTTCCTATGGATCCATAGATTCCCTAAATGCGTTGGTCATTGAATACATGAGTGAATGTTAGCATTTTGTATTTCCTGTCCTTGTTTCATGAAGAGAATAATCTCCCTTTAAGAAAAATGATTTATGAAATTCACTGGTTATCCAGTCAATTTTAGGGCAAGAAGTATAATTGTTTCTGAAGTGGGAGTCATTTGCACAGCTTCAGATAATTTCACTTTCCTCTTACTTAAAACCAATAGAGCATGATGTGGTTCAAGAGATATTCAGTGATTCTAGTAGTAGCAATCATGACAATGAGGATGAGAATGAAGAGCAGGAGGATGATGATGACGATGATGAGGAAGAGGAGGAGGAGGAGGAAGAAGATGATTTTGAAGAGGTTCTAGAAAGGGAGCTACAGGCCAAGATTATTGAATATGGCCAGCATGAGACGAAGGAAGGTGCCAGTTCAATAGGTAAGTCAGAGGAAAAGACAAACAGATGGGGATGGGTAGTTGGCAGTGCTAAAGGCTAACTCTAAACACACACAATGTAAAGCTACATTTGAGAAGTTCTTGCTCAGATGTAGAGTTTTACTTGATTTAAGTTCCTGTCCATTAGTTTAAGCTATATTTAGATACAAAAAATCTCTCTCTATCTCTGTTAGTTATGGAAATTCAGAAACATATTCATTACAAGGAGAAAAAGCTCCAACAGATTCAAAACAAAGCACAGAGACAGAAGAATATAATCAGAAAAGTGGAAAACCTGATCCTCAAGGTAAGTTCTTGTTGGTAGCTATAAAGAAATCCTGATATCTTACTTTCAGAATCTCATCTTTGTGTTTCTACTCATGTCATCTCTATGCAGTGCTTGTTCACTCATGAAGCTAAACATCTCTTACAAGCCTCTAATAAAAGATAGTTCTGTCTTATTGTACCTGAATAATTTTAAACATCTCATATAAGCCTTCTTGGTTGGGGAGACCAGTTAATTCAAGATAATAATTGCCAATATTGAGGATTTATTCTGAAAATGGCATGTAAAGAGCTATGCATTACCTCATTTCATCTTCGAATCCCTGAAACAGATATAGTCACTATTACCATTTCATAATTAGAGAATTGAAACTCAAGGATGTTTAATTGCCAAGGTCTACAGTGAATAGTAGGGCTTAGATTGAACCCTATTGTTTGTACCAAAATGTATTCATTTCAGTAAAAGGAATTAATTAATTTAAAATTTTATGATGCATGCTTGAACAAGAATAAACATATTCATTTATTTTTAGTAATACATATTTAAGAACTTCAAAGATTTAGTGTAATAAATCAGACACACAAGTTTAAATGTCACATTGTTTCTCTTGTGTGAAAAACCCAAAGGGTAAATAAGGAGCAAATCAGAGGATAGCTATTGGGAAGTAGAAAGAACATGATCAAATGGGAAAGGGAACAAGGGAAGGGGGAGGAGGGAAGTAAAGGAAAGGTAAAAGGATTTAAAAAAAAGAGAATGGAAGGGAAAGAATGGAAACAAAGCTTTTGTAAATGGGGATGGGAAGAAGGGTTGAAGGGAAGGGAGAGGAATGGGAAAAAAAGAATTAAGACATATTATGTACAGATACAAATTCCCTATGATGAATGTGATCATTATGTGTGTCAAATATGTACTAATAAAAATGAATAAAAAGCAGTAAAAAAAAAAAGAAAAGCAGGAGGCAGCAGTATTCTGAATGTCTCACTAGCGTGAACTCTAAGATAGAAGATTAACTGATAATCATGGTTCTTTTCTGCTGGATTTTAAAAAATTAATTTTATTGGTACATTTTAGGTATACAATATAATGACATTTCTGTTCTGCTGTTTTAAATGAAGTTTGAAGGCTCAGAGTTTCCTTGGCACTCATTTACCCATAGAAGTGAGTGGAAGAATAGTGCATAAAGTGCAACTTGTAACTGCAAAGAGCTAGAGCTCTCAATATTTGGATATAGACTAGATACAGGTTATGGCTCTGTTATCTGGAATGTCTGCCTATCTGAAATACTTATTTTCCAAGTGTATGAGTATAAGGGCTCTATAAGTTGCTACTCAACTCTGTTTAAAAGCAGGAGCCAGCAGTGTTCTGAGTGTATCGCTAGACTGAACTGTACGTTAGAGGTATGACTGATATTACAGATTTTTTCTGTTCTTTTAAATAGAGGTTGCAGGCTGGGATATTCTTTGGCACTCTTCAATCCATAGAAGTAAATGGAAGAATAGTGCACATAGTGTAGTTTGTAAATGCAAACAGCTAGAGCTTTTAGTGTGTGGGTATAGACAAGTTAAAGGGAATGGAGTTTAGCTGTTCTCTCTGGATTGTTTTCCTATCTGGAATACAGATTTTCAGAATGCATAAGACTGCTACAAAAAAAGAGCTTCAACAAAAAGAAAATGTATGTTTAGGCCACATTTATTCCCTCCATGGTAGAGCTCTCTGAGTAAGTGTTAATTTGAACATACAGAGAGAAATTCCAAATTCCCGGAGAAATTCCAAATTCCTGGAGAATTCTTTGTCAGATTTTATTTTCTGTAGAGCAGTGGCTATCAAGGGGGAACAATTTGACATAGAGTTACACTCACTTTGGGTGTTGTCCTTTAGAATAACCAAAGATAATAGATATTGATACATTCTGAAAGATATAGATATTGGTATTATTGTGGTTATTGTTCCATGTAGCATTAATGAAGAACAGTAATATTCTGCCCTAGTGACGGGAAATAGAGGAGGAATAAGTGCCATGTTCCAAGCCAGCTTTTTTTCCCCAAGTCAGATTTTTAAATAGGTTATCACAGCCAAAGGATTTGTATTAAATCAGAAATAGGTAGCATGAAGATGTTCCTACCATTTATTTTAGGGCAAGAAAAAGTACTATGTAGAGGGCATAAAATCAAATAGGATGGTGTAGTTAGTGGGTATTTTTATACTCCAGTCTCATTAAAAAGAGTGACTGACAGTTTTCTTACATTTCAAATTACTTGACAAACTCTGTCTCCCTTGGTTCTCTCTTCCTCAGCACTCATCATTTAAACAATTTGTTTTCCAGAATCATTTAAAGTCTGTGCTGGAGAATCTTGCAGTACAAGAAAAGCAAAAAAATGATCAGGTAAGAAATATATTTTTAAATCAAGCAGAAAATATTTGCTATAAAGAATCCCCCATCTCACCCCTAATTCCTGGCTGTTCTCTCACAGGAATAGTCTAAAAGAGGGTAGCAGGGTAGATCAAAATCTTTGTGAAAATTCACTCACTCAACAGTTATTGAGTAAGACAAATATAATCCTTGTCCTCGTGGAGCTAACAGTCTAGCAGGGGAGACTGACAATATAAAAATTATCATACAAAAAATTATCATACAAATATAAACACACAAATTGTAAAGAGGTATTCTGGAGGGAAAAAAAAATCAGTGATGCAATTAGAATGAAGAGAATCCTGAATTTAGTTGGGATATCATCATAGAGCTCCCTGAGGAAGTGTTATTTAAGCCTAGAGATGAAGGATGAATACGGGTAAAGTAGGATGAAGAGCCTCTTGGGTGGAGCACATGCAAGGTCCCACAATGGGAAAGAACTTTGCCTATTTGTGGACCTCTGCAAGTATTTAAAGCAAGGAAGAGAGTAGTTTAATATAAGATTGGAGAAGTAACAGAAGCCATAGTGTATAGTTCCTTGTAGCTCATTAAAAGGAAGATGGTTTTTGGTCTTAAGTGCAATAGGAAGTCCTTGAAGAGTTTTTAAAGCAGGAGAATCAGATCTAATTTAAACTTTTAAAATATCATCCTGATAATTATCTGGAGAATGAGCTGTAGGAGGGCAGGAATAAAACCAGAGGCCATAAGAGATTGCCTTAGTTACTTTTCTTGTTGCTGAGACAAAATACCTAATATCCAAAGTTAAAGGAGGATAGGATTATTTAGCTCACAGTTTGTAGAGGTTTCAGTCCCTAGTCAGCTGGCTCCAAGGCAGGGCAGCATGGCAGAGGGACCTGACAGAGGAGAAACAGTCCATGGTATGCCAGGCAGGAAGCAGTGAGCAGCAAGCCTGCCTTCCTTCTTTTCTCTTTATATTCCATTCAGGCCGTAAGCCTATTGATTGGTGCCACGCACACCCAGGGTGGGGCTTCCCATTATCCACACCCAGAAGTATGCCAGACCATTGAGTGGACTAATTTAGTTATTACACACCCTCAATCCATATTCACATGCCCTAGATCCATCCACCTCCCAAAGCATGAGGCTTTGGGGGGGACATCTAGATACAAGACATAACAGAGATGATGGTAATTTGGACTAAGGTAGTCGTAATAGAGATGGAAAGAATACAGACTTAACCTGCAAATAAAATGTGTTGTTTGTTTGTTTTTCATGGTTCTGAAGTTGGAACCCAGATCCATGTGTATGCCAGGCAAGCACTCTACTACTGAGCTACATTCCTACCCCTAAAATATTTTATAAGAGCTTTATTGAGATATAAAACACATACCATACAATTCACCCAATTAAACTGTATAATTCAGTGGCTTTCAGTATATTCAAAGTGTTGTGAAACCATCATCATGTCAATTTTAGAACATTTTCATCACCTCCAAAAGAAAGTTTGTACCTATTACTGACAGCAATCATTCCCCATTTTCTCTGAATCTCTCCCCTGCTACTTACAAGCAACCACTAATCTGCTTTATACTAATCTACTTCTTATACTGGGTTACTTCATACAAGAGGAATCATATATGGTCTTTTGTGCTTGGCTTCTTTTATTTATTTATTTATTTATTTATGTTTTTGGGTCCCGGGGATCTAACTCAGGTCCTTGCGCTTGCACAGCAGGTGGTGAAAGCACTGAGCTAAATCCCCGGACTGGCTTCTTTTAATTAGCAAAATGTTTTCAAGGTTCATCTATTTTGTGGCCTGTATCAGTCGTTGTTCCATTTAAAACTGAGTAATATTCCATTGTATGAATATACTATATTTTATTTATCTCTTTTTTTAAAATAAATTCTTTTATTGGTACATTGTAGGTATACAACACAATTACATTTCTCATTGGAAATTGTACCTTTACATAATGCATCTTGGTTCTTATTTTTTCCCCATTCCTAGCCCTCCCTTCATGCCCTCCACCCTTCCCT